TAGACTGGGTGTCTGATACAGAGTGAGTCTGCACCTCGAGAGGCTGTAGTGATTTTTACAGCTGTGTAGTTTCCTTCTGAGTGACGTATTGCTCAAGGTTACGTGTGACAAGACTGGACCCCACCTCAGTTAGAGCAGTTATAACTGTCCAGAGCCCTGACGTCTCCACCGCCACCCCCACACTCCCCGCTATCGCCTGACCCAGGAGCGTCCTGAAGAGCCGGCACGCTCCGGCGCAAGTGCTTTGAGAGAGCCGGGGAAGCGTCCCGGGAGCACTTGCGGTATCCCCCCCCCAACTCTTCTCTCTCTGCGTCTCAGGAGACCTACTTGATGAAGCACATGAGGAAACACAACCCGGACCCCCTGAGCGCGGCCGCCGCCGTGGCCCAGAGCGCCCACTCGCAACAGCAGCAGCAGCAGCAACAACAGCAACAGCAGCAACAGCAGCAGCAGGCAGCTCAGAGCCAGGCCGGGCAAGCAGGGGGCGGCGCGGCCGGGGGAGGGGGGCAGACCCAGAACCAGGGCCCCAACGCCTCCACGCCCTACCACCCGGGGCCCGGCCAGTCCGACGGGGTGCCCTGCCCCTTTGACCTGCACCAGTACAAAACGGTGGCGGCTGGAGAGATCCAGTACAAGCCCGTCAGTGTCGGCGACCTGCCCACACACAAAGACCTCTGTCTCACGGTCTCCACGTCTGCCATACAGGTGGAGCATCTGAACTCCTAAACCGAGTGGGCGGTGGGGGGCGGGGATGGGGCGGGACGGGGGTGGGGCCTGGGCGGGGCATTTGGGGAGTGGGAGGGGTCAGAAGAAGAGAGGCAAGACTGTGGCGAAACACCCAAACGAAGAAGGCAGGAAGATTAGGAGCGAGGATACGCAGGAAGGAGTCGGAGAGAGCGAGGAATCTGGAAAGCAAGGTACCAGGAGGGAGAAAAAAGTGATGACAATAATTCTCTTGTAGACTCTACTCATCTGTAGATGAATCATAACATTGTTCTTACTGTTATTAATCTTTTTTTTTTTCTCTGAATGTTTTAGTTACGTCAGACCTCCAGGTTGTGGGAGGGTGGAAGGAGTGGCGAGGGAGGGGAGGCAGGCAGGCAGGCAGAGGTACTGGAAAGTGGGGAGGGGGGGAGAAGGGAGATCTGGTGTCAGCTGAGCGGTGTGACTGAAGGTCTCTCCTTTCGCTCTGATCGGCGATCTCAAAAACATCTGACTTCCTCATGAATTCAACTAAATAAACATTTTGTTTACATGCGGCCATTCATGTCTGACCTTTATCCTGTCTTCGCTCTCTTGTGCTCAGTTGTTTTTACACACTCTTCTGCTTTATGATGGGGCTGCT